GCAAACTCCACCCCACGTGTCTCCCCGGCCACGAGGGCGGGCTGGGAATTCCTGGGAGTGAAAGTCCACCCCTCTTAAAGTCCCCAAGGTTGTGAAACACTGCTCTAAGCTCTGAACTTTGGTGCTCAAAATTAGAACCAACTTTGATGCTCCACCACCGCCCCGCCCGGCTCGTTCACATTTCTGCATGCCAAGAGCTCTGCCCGACTTGCTTGTCACAAGCTCTCTCCGTCTTTCCTCTCCAGGCATCGTATCTTCGTTCCCGCCGGATGTCGAAGCTGTGCTTTCTGCGCTGGGGACCGGATTGAGACCCTGGCTTCCTCCCCTCCCCGAAAAGAAAATTCAGATCGGAGTTTCTTCCAGGCTCCCGCTGAAGTCGGTCTCCAGGACCGGACGCCAAAGATAGGAGACTTTTCCCCCACCCTGCCCGTCCCCATTTGCCATCTCTGATGACCTAAAATGTTGCTGCTTGAACGGAGGAGGTTGGCTCTTCTCCCCCCCTCAAATTTCCTCCTTTGGGTGGTCTTTGAGCCCTGTGTTCCTCCCAGCCCCCCCCAAAAACATCTGGACCATGTCAGCCTCTCAGCCCTTTCTGTTCTCGACGAGAACGACCCTCACGATGGACATCTCCGTTTTCATCTTCTGTGAAGATACCCACTTCCCGTAGCTGGCGCTGCTCTTGTTTTTAAATTCGGTGGTCCTCCCGCTGATCCCTCGATCGTCGGCGATGGAGCCGAGCAATAAATCCATTTTTAGAAATGCTGTTCCTTGTTTTTTTACGCCCGGGCGTCCTTCTCCTCCTTCTCGTCGTCCCCCCCGTCCTTGAAAGAAAAAGCTGGGAAATGTGTAGGGAGGCGGGGAGAGGAAAAATGTTGGGGGGAGTGTAGTGGTGGGAAGGAGGATGACGTTGAGAACTGTAGATGAGTGTTTGCACCATCTTCGCTTTTTGGCCCAGGGCAGAGGTGGATCCGTGGCAGGCTGGACCTCCGAGCGTCCATGCTGGGTTTGTTGGGATTGAAGGGGTTTGTCTCCCTAACAAATTTTTCCCTTCCTCCTTTGGAAGAACCCAGCAGATCGGCGAGCGAGATGGGGACATTCCACCCAATTCTTCCCCTTCGTGGTCGCCGGCCTCTCGCCCCAACGGGGGTGTCTGTAAAATAGCAAAATCAGACTCGGGGGCATTGCCCCCTCTACTGCGGTTGGATTTTCGAGCAGGGGCCCGGCCCGGCAGGGCCTGGCTTGGAAATACCGAGGCGAGTCTTATAGAAACAAAATGCGACGGTTTACGATTCGGTGCGCTTCCCCCGCCCGTCCGCCCCCGTTCTGCTCGCCTTGTTTCCTCCAGCCCTCGCTCGGCTCCGCGACCTTCGAGGCGGCTCGGATTAATTGCAGTGTTTGATATTGAGATGTCGGGAAAATGTCACAATGGAAGTTTTAATTACAGATTGCCTGCCAGCAATTAGCGTGGATGGCGCGAAAGCCAGGTCTAGCTGCGATGCCAGTGCTGTGGCAACCGCCAGACCCTTCGCCTTTCCCAAGTCGCTCCGGGGATCTTTCTTGGGGAGTGTGGGGTGCAGCTAGAGAGGCCATCCCTATTTCTCCTGTCGGGAAAAAAAAAACGAGGACAGGAAACAGGGAAAGCAGGACTTTTCCTATCCATAAAATAACCTGCGGAGCAAAATTCATGGGAATTTTGGAATCGATGTGTTGTGTTCAAAAAAAAAAAAGTAAAATTCTGTCTCGAGTGCTTTCAAGTCTGGTTTGCTCGCAAGCCTGAAAGAACAGGTTACTAGTCCTTATTGTGGCAAAGAAAACGAGCGGGGTGCAGAGCACCCAGAAATTGGGGGGGGACTGTAAATCGCATGCCTCTGCATTCTGCACAGGGAGCAAAGCCAGAACAAACCGGGAGAAGCGATGCGTCGCTTTCTCTGCAGACTGCAGGATTTTGCGTGTTAAATCCCAATTGGATCCTGCAAAAAGCACATTTTGCCACAGGAATCCACTGTGCCCATCTTGTCTTAATTCGGGCGGGCTTCTCCCCCGGCAGGAAGCCCCGCGTTTAACGCGGACTCTTCCGATGGTCGTGTCTGGAGACCCTCGATTGGACTGGAACGATCGGATGGGAGGGGAAGCCGAGAAGCCATTGTTCGTCCCTGCATACACGCAGCGGTGGGGTGACAGTGCCGTGGCCCGCCCTCGGCGCCGAATTCCGTGACGCCCCTTCCTGCCCTCCCCAATTGCCAGATGCGTCCCCCGACACCCCTCCCCGAGCCTTCCGCACAGCACGGCGTCACTGCCTGATGGTTATGGCTTTTGGTCCGTCCGTGGACCTAAACAAAGCAATCAGAGCGATACCTCTCCTCCCACCTGGGTCGCAAATTGGGGTAGCCGTAAAACGAGCAGGTGGCATTTTTGTCCGCCTGCGCCTCCCCCGCCCCAGCCGGACGACTCTAGAAAACGAGCCGCACTGCAGATGGGGGTGGGCTTGCGTGCAGGGCGGGGGGAACGCGTCTGTCGCAAAACATTCAGATGTCGCCGTTCTGTCCAGGATTCCGGAATGGGGTCTTTGGGAGGAGCGGTCCGGCGCGCATGGGAACCGGAGCAATGGTGCCTCTGGGGGCGCTAGAAAATGTGCCACAGAATCGGAGCATGGGGAGGGACCTAAGAGGGCCTCTAGCTGGGCCGATGGACAGGTGGCCTTGGGTGGACTTCAATGCTTCTGTGCATCGTTTGGCGTTCTGCGGGCGTTGCATTGGCCACAGCGTCCTGATAGCTGTGGCCTCCTGTTCCCCAGCCTGAACGCGGCCGGGAGAGGAGGGTGACGCGTGGTTCTGAGTTTCCCAAATGTGGCGGGCACAGCTCGCTGCTTCGGTGCTGAAGGAAGGCCCCCCCCCCCCCCGGG